TGTTGAAATTCGTCCTAATTTGCCTGTTCACCGATTTTAGTTGAAAATGAGCACTTGCAAATTTGGCAATTACTGATGCGTTGCTTGCTTTTTTGGAGTTAAAACGCTGCCATTTACACATTGTTTATGTTCTGAATAAGCAGAGAAAACTCCGCAACATTTTAATGCGAGTTTGTTTGTTAATATTTGGGTGCTGTCATTGGTTCTTTTTTGACAATTGACGCGCTAATGGGCGTGTTATGAAAAGGGGCGTTTTACAAAATACCGGGCCTTGCTTGCAGGCCCACTATCAAGTCCCCTTGAGCCTGCTCCCTTGGGCCTGCACGCGGGCTAGATATTAATGAATTGTTTGAGTCAATTGCTCTTTATTTTTAAAATATCCAAAATTAAAAAAAAGCCGAACGGATATGGGGATAAAATACGGAACGGATGGGGATAAGATACGTCCTTTTAATGATGCAACGTTGTAGTGCTTATTTTTCATAACATATCTTTAATCTTATACAGCTATTTCAATTAAAGTTGTCACTGAGACAATAGTCAAATGTGCAATATGGGCGCTAAAAGGATCATGGGAATAATCACAGTTTTAAATAAGTTTAGCATATCAGTATCCTCGTGGGGATGCTTTTAGCGACAGCTCCCAAAGCAAATGTAGTTTTAGAATATGCAAAATTTGGTTGTTGGTGAAACAATTTAAATTTCGAGTGGTCGCGTGTAGCATCATAATAAATAAATGGTCGCACGACTTCCCTCACGATTTGAAGTTTGAGACTGGTTTTCTGTTGAAATTCGTCCTAATTTGCCTGTTCACCGATTTTAGTTGAAAATGAGCACTTGCAAATTTGGCAATTACTGATGCGTTGCTTGCTTTTTTGGAGTTAAAACGCTGCCATTTACACATTGTTTATGTTCTGAATAAGCAGAGAAAACTCCGCAACATTTTAATGCGAGTTTGTTTGTTAATATTTGGGTGCTGTCATTGGTTCTTTTTTGACAATTGACGCGCGAATGGGGCGTGTTATGAAAAGGGGCGTTTTACAAAATACCGGGCCTTGCTTGCAGGCCCACTATCAAGTCCCTTGAGCCTGCTCCCTTGGGCCTGCACGCGGGCTAGATATTAATGAATTGTTTGAGTCAATTGCTCTTTATTTTTAAAATATCCAAAATTAAAAAAAAGCCGAACACAATTTTGAAGCTGACGTCTTTAGCTATGTCCTGTGAAAATTTGAGAAAAATTGGTTAAAACCCGCAGGAGCACAACTCGTTTGAAAATCAGTAATTACCGTAAAATGTTTCGGGAGAAAGTTGAATTTGAATATTACATTTTCAATGTATTTCTTATTGCAGCGAAATGTATTTTATTAAATAACTCTGCGAGTTTTCAACATTTTTCGTTCAAACTTGGTCAGATAGTAGAACTAGTCTAATGCTTTCATGGAAACCAATAAAAAAATTTTAGGCAAAATTAACACTCAAAGGTGTTCTGTAACCTTCACTGAACATGAAGAATGCACTCGCTGACGTGTACTGAATATTAATGAAGTTTTTTTCCCTTCGTAATCTCTTCACAACTGGAAAGTGGCGAAAGGATTACGAAGTCGTTTTACACGCATTTCTGTTCATTTGTGCAAAAATATCGACTTTCTTACGGTATTTATGATTGTCAATGTCATCCTTGGTCTATTGGAGTGTTTTAGCAGTTTTGCATATTTTTAAATCATTATTCAAATGAAATTCAAGCGTACACAATTCACAAGCGTGTTATGTGTTTGCGGAAGACTTTGCATTTTCTAATTCAGTTGCATACTGTATCACACGAATAATTAATTATGATGCAATGCGTAATACAATATAATAATTTGTAATAAGACTATGTATGATTCACGAAACCCTGTTTTTTACCAGAAACATACGTAGTGCGGTTTTTCATACTTTTTGTACAATATTTTGCATAGAGCACAAAAGCAAGACGCCATTTATCTTGCCTATAATTCCATAGAAGGAGTTTAGTTTGAGTAACTCCACCAAAGCGAGTTATATCGTGCATACTACAGTAATTTGTTCGCCAATACACTTGAACTCCTAAAATGAATTATTATAGCTAAATATGTGGAAGGAATATAACCTTGAAATAATACCTCCACCAAAAGAAGTAATAGGAAATTTAAAATGATTTTCTGAAAAGAACAATGTAGCTATTATTTAATATGCCTGCACCTAATGCCTGTCGGTCAAAAAATAATGTAATTGCTGGCAATTTCTACCCTGGGTGCCAGAGGTTCTTCCACGCTCGTAGGGGGGATAATGAGGGATACACGAGGATTCAAGCTGGGCGGCGGCGAGCGGGAAGAACCTCTGGAACACTTCTATGGTTTCTCAGATCGAGCCGCACCAATCACGATGCTTAATAGTGTGAAGTGATCCAGAATCTGGATCACTGTGTTAATTGGTTAACGGCAGGGATTTCTTGTCCTTCAAGATATTATCGTTCAGAATCCGTTCAGGCATAAGCTGTTGTAAAAATATAATATTATATTTATAACATAGTCAGGCGTAAATATATATGCCTCTAGTTTTGCGAGTCTTGCGAAAGGATTTCAACAATGCGGTTGATTTCATCAACGCGGTTGATTCGATTTTATTTTTTTTACTGGACGATGTTACATAACTCAATAAACATCAAGATGTTGCCTTGTTTCTGTGTTTCAGTTGATGCATCGCCGTGACATGTTTGCTATATTGCCAAGAGGGAATTTCGTGTCTGTCTAGTAATCAAGCATGTCAAGACAAGATGGGAGTCTTTATAGGCCTATTTATATAGAGGCGAATTACCCGGCAAGTCGAGTTTATACTCGTCAACGACAAGATCCCGGCTATATTATAGAAACTTATACAGTCGTAAACCCGGAGAACTGTTTACATGACGATGCAGCCGAGTATAAACTCGGCAGTGACGAGTTCCCGGCACGGAAAGAGGCGAGATATTGCCTTCGGCGAGATGAATAGTTACCATATTATAAACAAAAGATGTTCGGGTATTTGTTAACTCGGCCGCCCGAGATCGAAATATGTATGTGTATAAATGTATGTGCTTTGCATTTGAAATATAATATATTGTTTAAAAATACATATACGAATCATTACTCATTAGATAAGTTTTATTCGCCAATTGCAGAGTAACTCGCCTCCATATAAACAGGGCCTTGGACGGCAAATATTGGTTTTACAAGAAAATTATGCTTCAAAGTTCAATCTACCAAGGCGACGATCCTTTTACTGTATATACTAAAATACCCACTGTGAATAACAAATTCACCACAAACTCGACAATACTCGTCTCCACTTTTTTGTAACACTTTTAACAGGTCTACGGTCTAATGCCATGTGGCCATATAATATTATTCGGTTTATTTTACTATAACGACTCGCTAATTTTAATTTTTTGTTTTGAAATTGACACATTCTGTCGCAATTTCCATCGCTCAAATGTTCGGTTGAACACGCCCAAATCATCATCAGTCAAAAATAAGTACGTGTCCTATTGGCTAACGTTTGATTGACATGAGACAGTTAAAACAGTAAAGGCCATAGAAGTGTTCCAGAGTTTTTTCCCGCTCGCCGCCGCCCAGCTTGAATCCTCGTGTATCCCTCATTATCCCCCCTACGAGCGTGGAAGAACCTCTGGCACCCAGGGTAGGCAATTTCTCGTCTTCCTCCAAACGTTTTTATAGACATCGACATGCATTTTGGTACTCCCTAAGTATTACATTCACTGTGTCACTTGCAGGTAAAATTTGGTAATGGCAGATCAGTTTTCTGCATTTGGAAAAGCGGCTCAAGGTGTGGCTCATGAGGCCTTCCGTGCCAGAGTGTCAGGTTCTGGTGGTGGTAAATTTTTGATAGACATCAGTTGTGACCGAGCGGTAGTAAAAGATGCATTAATAGTAGTGTCCGCAACGGCAGTCACACTGAGTGCAATTTACGCTGGATATAAATTATTATCGCAAAAAATGGATGGAGCTGTCAATAGAGGCCTTGGTGGTGAAAGAGATGACCAGCAAGTTGGCGCAATTGAACCAAGATGCCTACATGTACGACTACATTGCTTCACAGATGAGAGATTTCTTGAAGTATTGGAAGATTATGACTCTGGAAGGATGAAAGATTGCTTCCAAAAAGAATTTTCGAACATTGGTATCGAAGTAGAAGGATTAACGGTCAAGATTGAAAACTGGGAAGAAGTAAAACAAAGAAAGTTAACTATATGCAAAAGGTAAATGAATACATAATGATTTATGTTAGTGTATGCAACCTCATGGTAGAATTAGAAAAAGGGACTAAAGAGGGGTAACGCGCCTCTTTATAACGAAAGAGCTTGGTCCTAATCGCCCCCGGTGTAGTTACAATGTTGCGAGATTTGAAAGCTTTTTTTTCTATATATGTATAGGTAATCATTCGATGTTGCTCGTACAATTAGGGATTAATAGCACGAGTGATGTTTGGAAATTTTGCCAAAATTGGACGAGCCGCCGGGGCGAGTTGTTTATTATTAGCATGACAAAATTGGATACTTATCAATGTCAACATTATATTCTCTCGCCAAAGCTCAGTCGTGCCAGACTTTCAACCAAAATTTGGTGCTGTTGTTCGTATTTTCATTTAGTTCTTTTGTTAAAGCAAAATTTGGTGCTTTTGTTCGTATTTTTATCTAGTTCCTCTAGGGCAATTTCATTTCACATTTGTGCTTAAAATACCTTTCCGCTATTTTTTTTGTTTTGAGAAAATTATTAATTGTACCGCAGTACAATTAATGAAATAATTGTACTCCTCTCAACCAATCAGCATCCAGTAATTTTGTCATGCTAATAATATATATATATATATATATATATATATATATATATATATATATATATATATATATATATATATATATATATATATATATATATATATATTTACTAAAACCTATAATTTTTAGTTGCTGTTTAATTATGCAAGTTTACTATGTTATTGTTTAGTCGGTTTAAATGTTAGAATTTTCTTCTTTAAACTTTAATGTTGTCGTCACTACATCTGGAAAACCACGTAAGAACAAATTAAAGGGATTTTAAAAGAGACCAGGTTGTTTGAAAATCCTAAACGAATGCTAAAAATCGTCAAAACATTCTGGTGTCTGAGCCAGAGCGTCATCGAATTGCGATGTAATGTAAACAGAAATTATAGCAAGTTGATGTCAGTCAGCTTAGATGGTCCAAGCCAAAATTATATCGCATTTGAAGTTTCAAACGGAGTTAATAATAGCGGAAGAAAAGCCGTAATTATACTTGTTACAACCCATTTAATAAAATGCAACATTTTTTTGTTTTAATGAAAAAATCAGTTACTTATTTTCATGAGAACAATTTGTTATTCCATCTCAATTTTTTTAATCTCCAATCGCAATAACGTAAAGTATTATTACCCGCGAACCAATGAGTCAAATTTAAGAAACAACCCACTGTTAGAAAGCTGAATGGCTACGCTTTAAAATGAATGTAAACTTTAACGTTTTCGTCTATTATTTGTTTAGCAATTTACATTTCAGTCGAGGATAGAGATAAAATAAACCTGGTTTACTTCATAAGATTTATTCAGTGAATAAATCGTATGAAGTAAACCAGGTTTATTTTATCTTTATATATATATATATATATATATATATATATATATATATATATATATATATATATATATATATATATAT